TCCAAAACTGTAGTAGTGCCTTTGACTAGAAGTAGTGCACAAGTGTACAGTACTCGCCGTTTGAAATCGAAAATTCACGCGAATAACGCGAATCCTCGTTAATTTCGTGAATTCGTTATAACTCGGTTCAAAATTGAGATTTTCAAAATCTGAAAAAAGCGTTGAACTCAGCTCGTCGAGTTCTATAAGAATATGCTTTTAAACTTTTAAAAAGCCCTACTTCAGATTGCGCCATGCACTCGAGCTTTGGCTCGAGAAAAAATTGTTTGAATGTGGTGCGCATATAATCCCGCTTATGCATCATGATCTTTCTTCAGAGAGATGGGTCTCAGTAGTTGCTCCAGAACGCGCCGCGTATTCAACATCGTCCATTGTATTGTGAATGGATCGATTGCTTTTTTTCAGATTTCATGGTCCCTATTCCATAGCGGCGCGTTAAATGACTCAACATGTACATGACTGCGCTCAACATCTCCTCCTCTCGTGTTCAAATGGAAATCATAGATCATTTTTCAGCAGGACAGTTAGCCTATTTGGTGAAATTTTCCAATGTTTGAGCGAAGGTTTTTCCGAAATCTGAGGGGTAGCGGGGAAATTCCTTCACAGTTGTATGTGTACGGAATAAGATGATACGCTTGCTTGTAGACGAGCGCTTCCGCCGTGCTGTGGCTGTGAACATGCCTCCTCGTCATGCCCTTGTGAAAAGATCAGATTTTTTTGCATTTCCAGATGAGCTCGCAGAACTGAAATGTGCCCCGTTAGACTCCCCCGTGAAAAATGCTATCGAATGATATGCATTTCTCCTCCCAGTTGAAACTTTGGTTTTTCACCTTTTTCAGGTCCAATGTTCATATTCGTAAATCAGGGCATCGAATTACCCCAATAGGCAAAGTTTCGACGAAAAATGAAACTTTGAGATTTTGGGGCAGTAATAGTGGAATAGTGAGTGCCCAATCGGCAATAGGGGAAGGCTGAAAACGGTGAAAAACCAAAGTTTCAACTGGGGAAGTAATGCATATCATTCGATAGCATTTTTCACGGGGAATCTAACGGGGCACATTTCAGGTCTGCGAGTTCATCTGGAAATGCAAAAAATCTGAACATTTTTCACAAGGGCATGACGAGGAGGCATGTTCACAGCCACAGCACGGCGGAAGCGCTCGTCTAACAAGAAAGCGATAATCATGTTTTCTCACCATCAGTACTTACTATCTACAACTGTTGAAGGAATTTCCCCGCTACCCCCTCAGATTTCGGAAAAACCTTCGCTCAAACATTGGAAAATTTCACCAAATAGGCTAACTGTCCTGCTGAAAAATGATCTATGATTTCCATTTGAACACGAGAGGAGGAGTTGTTGAGCGCAGTCATGTACATTATTGAAGTTCTCGAGCCAAAGCTCGAGTGCATGGCGCAATCTGAAGTAGGGCTTTTTAAAAGTTTAAAAGCATATTCTTATAGAACTCGACGAGCTGAGTTCAACGCTTTTTTCAGATTTTGAAAATCTCAATTTTGAACGAGTTATAACGAATTCACGAAATTAACGAGGATTCGCGTTATTCGCGTGAATTTTCGATTTCAAACGGCGAGTACTGTAGTTTGTTAATTTCTGTATAGCAGGCGTTTTATTGACATGAGTTGATTACAAAATAATTGCAAGACTTTCAAGTCTGACCCTACACTGTGAACTAAATAACATTGTTTGGTAGAATTCTTCACCGGAATGTGGGTTGTGTGATAGCCAGTTTTCCTGGGATGTAAAGCTCAGCTAAACTCCAGATCTTGACTTGGTCGCTTCATAACGGCTTCTCTTTCTGGGTTTAAGGAAGGCGGCAGTGAGGAGGTAGGCCCATTGGGTTATTTCCGCGATAGAGAACCTATCTTCTCCGGCAGATCTGACTATCGAAGGGAAGCATTGCATTCTGAAGACTGCTCATGTACTTACGATTAGCCCAACCCACATTCTGCTGGATACATAGAACTGGAAAATCGCCGAATGTCGGACCATCTTCATCCATGAAAATACTTCCATTATTTCTCGTGTTGAATCTTATACTCAAAATGAGGTTTCCACTTGGCAGAGCACTTCACAGGGTCCACTGCAGCATTTCTAGAAACTCGGAAATCTCATTGGTCCCTGAGAACGAAGTTTTAAATCTCGCCTCAGCCCATGTTAGCCGTTAGTGTGCGGAAGCCGGTTAAGCCATCCTGCTCTTGAAGCCCAACACCCGCTTCTTGTTGGGACATCATCTGTAATATTCACCAGGTCGGGACCGATGTTGGGCTGCACATGGACTTCCATACGATCAGGAAACGGGGCCGAACTCGTCTCTTAGTTGGAAATGTCTTGGTACGGGATATGCAAAGTACCCTTCGAATTTGAAGAGGATTTTCTCGTGAGCATACTTTGTGAATGTTCATTCTTCTTACAAGAAACAAGTGAACATTGGTTTTATTCAGCGAAAACGGTGAAATGGTTGAACTAAAATCAACAGAAAAGTGAACATTGAGAATAGGAATTATAATGATGATGGAAACAGAAAGTTTTCAAACTTTCGAAGAGTCATTACTTGAAAAAATCTTATTTTCTTGAAAAAGATTATAAATTTGTAGAAGATTATTCTTCTTACCGTCGTATTCTGGACTTGATGCTGTATGCAACCTCCAAATTTGAGTCAATTTCGTTATGTGTCAGCAGCGCTAGACCAAAAAAAAAACTTTCCAAACTTCTGACCGCTACCGTGCGTCGCCTCTCCTTGGCGTACCTCTTTGCACGCGCCGCCTTTTTCTTCACCCAGCCGCCCAATCTGGTAACAAAATGTGGTTTTCGAAGGCTTATTTTTGCTCCAGGAATTAATTTTCATTCAAGAAATTAGTACACCAGCTCTAGTGGTCTCAAATGGCAGTTATATGTGGGTAATGGAAAACAGCAACCATCCATATTCGATCCCTTCAAGGCACCAATATTATATATTGGGTTGATGCATTATTATTGTGGCTTTTTCCAACAGAGTTTATTCAGCGAAAACGACAAAATTATTCACAAAACATTTTAAATTACTACCCGGAGCGTGTCACATCCCACAAGAATGCTTCCCATTCGCTTTCTCGGTGATTCCACGGATAAAAAAGTCACGATTCTCGGAGACGATCCACGCTCTAACACTGGCCACCAACGCATCCAGCTCATCCTAAAATTTGTTCGTTTGCCAGTTTTTCAACGTCTGATTGAATTGCTAGTCTGTAGGAGCTCCGCTCGGTAGATGTGTTTTAAACTTCTTGAACGATCCTTCGTCTTGGGTTTTGCTAATTGCTCCCTCGCTGAGAAGTTTGATGAGATCGCGGAATGGCCCCGCCGCCTTCTAACATTTATAGAAGTAGTAAGCATGTGTGGTGAAGATGAGGACAATTTCCGATAAGCATTTCTGTTAATGGAAGAAAGAAGAATATTCTCATGAAAAAACAGAAACTCAAACGCCAATCTTCTCGAGAAAAGAACGCGAAAAAAGCCCAACAATTAATGCATCAACCTATATTTTTATAGAATTCTATAGTAGGTTCTCGTTGCTGAGATCCCTGCGCTGCATTTCAATTTGAAGTATGATTTCTTCAAACTGCATTGCCTTGTAGTTTGAAGAAGACGCTTTAATTCAATGATGTGATGATTGCCAATAATGAAACAGTTGTGATGTTAGAAGCATGTTAGGGGTTGCAGTAATTGCTGCTCATAAGTCATTAAGGTTTTCGAAACTAATACCTTATTTTCGTTTAGGAGGCCTTAAAAACTGATCGAAACTCAGATGCTGGAAGCCCTTCGCCGTCTAGCACATAATCGCCCGCTTATCTAACTGCAACTAGCATTTTCAAAGTTTTAATTATCGTTTTTTTGTGTTCTACCCTATTTAATTTTTGCTCCTACACCTTTGGAATTTGGTCCTCCCATTCGTGTCTTTGATGTTTTTTTGTATTATGTTGTACAAAATCAAATTACCTATTCGTGGAGTGAGGATTGTTCCAATTAAGAATTCTGAAATTCTACGACAGTCGGTGCTAACTTAGTTGGGGGGGGGGGCACGCGGCGGCGCGGCAGTCTGCTCGCCTGGCATGTTCGGAAATCCGTGGGCCAGGGGGAGTGTAGCCAGTCTAGGGGGTTGGGGGTGGGGGCAGTCACTTGACATGCGTGAAAAGCTGGAATGTTCGAGTTTACACTGTCTCGCTCGAGAGAGCCCAGGTGAGCAGACTGCCGCGCCGCCGCGTGCCCCCCAACTAAGTTAGCACCCGACATCCTACATTAGATCTTATTTGCCCTACCTCCCACGAATCCCATCCAAACGTTTGATAAGATGGTTTCACCCTTACGAGGAAGGTCTTTCAGGAAATGCCAAGCTTTCTCAAAACGGTTTTTTGCATGATATAGGGGTACATGCATGGAACACTGAACTATAGTTCATTTTTCCTGAGCGGCCCTTTGAATACCAAAAAAGGGGTTATGAAGTGGTCCGTGGTTCGAATCCTCACAGTGACAATTTTTTGCATTTTCTGTTCGCGTTCCAAAGTTTACGAAAAAGGTGTCAGCGTGAATAGCAGATGTCATATCTATAACAGGAGCAACAGCAACGTTCATACGTAGATTTTGACTAAAAAACTGGTGGAGAAAGTTGCGATACCAAAACGGCGCCGTTGTAGCGCCCAATGGCGTTATAGCGGATTCAAATGACGTTTACGCCAAAAACTAATAGATATTCGTAACTCAGGAGATTGAATAGCCCTAGTCCAAAAGTTTCAGCTAAAATTTAAGATTTCGACCTAACTTCGAACAGTTGGACCATGGGTCAGTAGCCCGTCAGGCTCATTGGTAAACAATTTGGAGGCGACTTCTTGTCCTTTCTTACGGAATGAGAAATCCTTCCCCGTAATAGACAATGGTAGACACTCAAGCGATGGGTGAGAAGACACCAATGACTATGTCATTAGGTTCTCCTCCTTGTCAAACAGTGGCAGGATGGGCTTCTGGTCATACTTCTGGCTGGGTCTACTGCCGATAGCTAGATCAGCTGCAAAAAACGCAACGTTGTGTGAGACTTGCCCTGCGAGGGAGAACCTCGGTTTCCGTGGTAATCACTAGGACGGACCCCTCCTATTCCACGTTAGCCCTTCTCCAAGCCTTCCGGGGGCAATTTGTTTATGAATTATAAAATTTCTATCGATGCACACACAAGTTCGTGAGAGACCAATACGAATTCGCAGTCGTAGGATCTCAAAACGAACATAAAACCGCATTATATGCATGCGCAGGAGTGCACGATCACAGGAAAATGACAATAGAAAAAAAGCAAAAATTTGGCACTGTGGAATCGAACCATCAACATCGCCTTGCCTTCCGATTCACAGGCCGCACCACTAACCACTAGACCATCCGACTGCCGCTGATAGCATGTATTCAGGCGCTGATGAATGTTCCACAATAGTTTCAATACATGCCAAGGAGATCGTTTTATTTTTGACCGAATTCCGCATTGTTTTCAATGTACAATTCATGAGAACCTTTTGATATGACACTGGTCAACGCTGTGTGCGATGTACGTCACAACAAAGCGGTTAGAACGGCAGTTCCTTAAGAATTTTTTCTTCGCTCCTTTTTTGGTATTCAGAGGGCCGCTCAGGAAAAATGAACTACAGTTTGGTGTTCCATGCATGTGTCCCTATATCATGCAAAAAACCGTTTTGAAAAAGCTTGGCATTTCCTGGAAGACCTCCCTGGTAAGCGGTGCTACAAAGTGAGAGGGACGGTGGAAGATTCCGCATTTAGCGTGCGGTCGCGGCGCGCTTGTATCTCTGCAGGGCATTGCTGTTAACGAAGGTGCACCGTACGCAGAACTCGCAACAAGTGAACAATCCCTTTTTCTCGCTACTGTCCAAAATGAGCGTAACATGAGGTATGTACAGAGCCATTCGATGGTGCAGCACAATTTTCAAGCTGAACAACAGTCGGAACTCGATGAGGACACAATGTGTTACAACAGCTTTCCAAAACGGATTTAGAATGTAGAGGTTCAAGAGAACAGCCAATTCCGCGCGATAATGTGTTGCCATGTGAACCGAGAACACACTAGGCAGTTATACGATCACTGTCTTCTGCAAAGATTAGCATCATGACGGATAAGTGATATTATTACTAGATTTTAGACGAGCAAGTGACGGCGCGACATTTGGTGGTCCGCGTTCAAAGCTGACATTTGTGCGCTGAATTTCCAGGATTTTAGCATGAGCTTGTCTGAGAATGGCCTGTTTAATCCAGAATTTCGTTGTTTCGTTTCATGCATCCTACCCTTTGATAGAAATTTTAGTTGTGCTGTTAAACTGGCCTCTCACAACTTCTTCCTTTGTTCAGTACAGGAAAGCTGCTAGTGGTAAGTATGATTAGGAATACGGAACGGCTGAGCAAATCTTTTCATAGCGAGAACTTGTAAAAACGAAGGAGAATTGAATGGCGATATATACAGAAAGAAAGAAGGACAGCACTGTTTTTTTGTTTTTGTTTTCTGTTTTTTTTGTCTATGGAGTTCGAGAGAATGCGTTTTTTTTTGTTGTTGTGTATGGAATACCTGTGTATTACATAACAAGTCCTGAAGATGGACAGCAATGGAAAATTCTGGAAGGCATGGGTCGATATTAGGGAGCATATTGTACTATTGCGGTGGAGCAGCAACGCGCCTCCAACACAAAAGTCGCAACTCAGCCGCGCGCTTGCGACGGAATCCATTTCTATTGCGTCGGCTTTGCGTCGGCTTTGGAGTGCCGCATGAATCCTGTCACTTAGCAAAGGGCAAAGGCGTGCTGGTCGAGTCGTTTTGCCCACTGTGGAAAGATTGAAGGGCTGCGCTAGGGGAACCGTAATTCTTCATATTTCGATTGTTCGAAGCGATCAGACAACTCCTGCGCCTCGCTGGCACGACTATTCGGCTACCTCGCCTTTTCCCTGCATCGTGTGACGGAACTCGTGCATTACCGTCAAAAGTCATTGTGCGCCGTGACCAGCCACGTCCCTATGCTGCGCAACCACGATCGGTATCCTTACAGGAAGCGATTACGATGAAGAGGGAGCGCATCGGGGAAGCATACACACGAACAGTTACTTGGCTGCCAAGGAAGCGAGTGTGGCGCTTTCACAACGAAAGGTGCGCTGGTTGCTGAGCAGGACTTCGAAAGCACTCCGCCCCCAAAAGCGATCCGCCCACTAGTTTACTTGTTGATTTGGACGAGCTGCGTGGCCAGCAGCGGCGCAAATGGAGCATCTCGATTAAAGCGTGATTTGGCAATGGTGCCATCAAACGCGTTGCGGTGAACTCGTTCATACTCCACTTTCTGAGCTGTTACCTGTTCATGAGTGAAAACCAACGGCCAAAAAGGGGGTCCCGTTTTGCGTTTTTTTTTGACGGATTTTTCTGCTTTTTTTCGCCACTGGCGTACCATTGAGCACCACCACGTCACATTGGACCCTTCTTGAATTTTTCGTGATCGCTGCTTTAACCACATGTTGCGAATGCAAAGCGCAGGGATCCACTGCAGAAAAGTCCGATACTTGCCTAACATCCTCATCGAAGTGATGCTACAGATGTCAGTCGAAGCAACACTTCGAGCATACCCTGATCTGAACTCGAAGCGGTTTCACTGCCCTTCTATAACGTGTTAAAAGAATGGATGAGATAGCTGAAGCTTTTACGTATAAAAAGAAACGTTTTCGTGACGTGAACAAATGTACCACCCATCCACTTTGTGACAGCATGGAGAGCTCTCACGCTTACTTGTAGTATGTATATTTTGCACAAGCGTCCTTCTCATCTTTTACCATGTTCGACTAACTATGTAATTTTGATTTACGAAATAAAGAAGAAGACTATTGGTGGTTTCCACTCATTGCACCGTTACAACTGCACAAAGTTATTTCTCTACTGAAATGCTTTAAAATTAAGCGCCCACCATAGTGCAAGTGATGTATTGGACAATCTTGTGGCCGTCGACTATCCAAAGTGAACTATTTCTTTTATCATGGACATGTGGTATTTCATGTTCGGACTGCTCAGGGCGTCAGTTATTTGATGATGTTTCAGGTGAAATCCAGTTTGACGGTGCCTTGGTGTCTTAGTCCTAACCCTAGAGAGGACTTCCGTGAGCTTTTTTAGACTAGGGGTAAGGTAGTATGCAACGTCTCATTTCAAGTGTTTTTGTGATGAGGACCGATGGATCCTACACTCAACACCTGCTTACATCCTTCCTAGTTTTCTACACTAGGTCATCCACCTTGAAGCACCTGCACCCATAGGCCGTAGCCGAGCTCTCCAATCCCCTCGTTCCGGACCGCTCCATCAAGCCACTGCAGGCCGAACTTCGGAAGCACCTAAGGATCACTTCCACACTACACCGGTACTTATCGGAAGCATACTTCAAATGATCGATTACGTGTCATGAGCGCTCTCATTCTTGTCTTAACTGTAGCAGATCGCGATGGAGTGCACACCCCCTCCCCCCCCCCCCCACCCCAACCCCCCAAAAGGGATTTCCCCCCCTGGCAATGTTCCCCGGCGCAGGGGGGGGGGCTGGGAAAAGCTGGGGCCCGACCCCTGTCCGACGTCTAGTTACGCGTCAGGTTAAGCTGCCTGACGCCAAAGGACGGGACAAGCATTCCCCGTGTGTCTCCTCAAGTGACGAACTCACATTATTATCGGACAGAGGTAGGGGCTAGTAGTTCCGAATTCTCGTTTGCTCGTATTTTGAGCAGCGGAGCTCAC